AAGAAGTGTTGCTATTTTATAGGCTGGTATGGCTAGGATACAAGTTCTCTAATTCTCGGACTATTCTCTCATTCCAGTGTAATGATCGAGGAACTTTGCTGCAATTTTCTGGCTGTAGCAATCACAATGATATTACGCAGCACCTGAAAATAGTCCCCAGCTAATTCTTGGTTTCTCACAAATGTCTCCATGGCTGCAAGGCACATAGTATCAGCCTCAAACGTCATATAAGACCCTGCCCATGGACCTGTGGCGAAACATCTGATGCATATGACACATTTTTCTGGAAAGGTTAACCAGTCTGCTTGGAAACAAGTCTGATCGGATAAAAACAATATGCAATGTTTGTCTCAGTCTGTGTCTACATGCATGTTCTACTGATTTCCTTTGTGTTTTGCATACAGATTATTAAGGATATTGATGTGTATAACTTTTAAAGACGTTTGTAAATGCATGGTTGTGTGCTGGGCTGTGGGAATTTAAACATGACGCAGCACAAAACGAAAGGTGATTGGTTGGTTAACCTGTCAGTTAAATAACATTTTGGGCGTTCTTGACCATACGAAGTGGCCAAGGTTCCCAAACCCTCAGCTTTTAATAGACCCTTTTCACAATTACGTCAATTCACTTCTGCATTTCCGCAACGCAGTGTATTTTTAGTTCCGGTTCACCTTTGAATGCAGCAGGCTCATTGTGAAAACGTAGCCCTAAATACATTTCTGGAGATCGTGAATTATGTAGCCAGAGCTACGTATGGCTGCATTTCGTCTTTAAAACAAACACTATGGGGGGCTATGACTCCAATCCTTTTTACGCTTACCAACTGACCGCTTACTTCTGTATGGACGGTTTTCCCTCTGTTACCAGTTTGTCCAGTAGCTCTCCATGTATGTCAGTGGACTTGAGATGCAGAGAGGAGTTGACCACAATGACAGGGTTTGAGTTTGGTAAAGAACGGCCCCAGAAAGCGTGTAGACAAAAACAGAAACCAAAAAATAAACTAAACAAGTAAAAAAACAGGGTGAGGATATGGTAAAATCTGAAAACTTGGTAAAAATCAGGCGAGGGCTTTTCTTTTTCTGAATTGCTTTTGAAAATTGTCAGTTGGGTTTAGGGAAGGGGGTGGGCAGGTCAATCGGTGCTTTTGAAAACACTATTGGTTGGGTTTAGGGAAGGAAGAGGGTGGGTCAGTCGATCAGTCAGTCATTCAATCAGTTGACAGCGGCCTCTGGTGGATTTACGCGAGAATGGCACTTGCGAGAGAAGTTTGAGATCACAAAGCAGTCTCTAGTGGATTCACGAAAAACCAAAACTGCAAAAAAAAAAAAAAATGAATGAATGTTTGAATGAATGACATGCATCTCTGGAAATTTTACAACTGAAAATATTAACATTGCTCGTTGTGATGTAAGACTATTAAAGTATTGGGCGTGTGTCCATAAGTTTTTCTCTCAATACTGAACTGCTTTATCAGTTTGAAAATGATTGTTTTGGTTATTAAGAATAGGAATAAGCTATTGTTTATCAAGGAAAGTACATGTTTGCAACATTTGAATGTATTAATTCAGTTTTAATGAATGGTTGTAATTTTATAAATCTGTTGTAATTTCCTCCAATGGATTTATTTTTATTTGATGCTGCTGTGAATAAAAATTGATATTATCTGTTATATGTAAATGTTCCAGCATGACTAAAATACTATCAAATTAAAATTCGAATTAAATCGTCTCATATTACCTGTCATCTATAAATGCAATCAGTTCCATCATTTATTATTCACTGATCCATTAATGGCTTATTATGGTATTTTATGCTTTAGAAGTGCCAAAAACTTACATCACCTTTAAGCTCCAAGAGTTCCCAAGATGGGAAATCAAGATGGACAGTTTGGATGCTGCATTTGCATTAATGGTAAGCTTGTTATTTATTTTATTTTTTTATTTTTATTTACAAAACCCCCCAAAAAACAAATAGTATATGTACAAAATAGACAGCCATTGTATTACAAATGACTTTAGGGCACTATAAATGCTGGCTAATGCTACAATTATGTTTTGACCGAATTTATATTATGTTTTTTTTTTTTATTGCCATTAAAGGAACTACAGAATACATAAACCTTTTAGTGAACTGCAGTCAGAAACATACGGCTTACTTGCTCTTGTTCTTATGTAATTTATAAGAAACAGAATGTTATTTGAGGCTAGTAATTTTGTTTATTTATTAAATAACCAATAATAATAAATTAATAATCATCCCAAATTAACAGAAAAAGACAGCAGTTAAGAAAACGTCTGATTCTCTGAATGTGAATATTTTGCACAAGCTCTGCAATTCACTGGCATCATGTGGACATATGAGGTAATTAAAACTGCACTGATGAGGTGTTTAGTATGAGGTGCCGTATAGGATTTAAATCAAACTTTGCTTATCAACACATACATAAAACACGTGTATATACACCTATAAATTACTCGCATATACACCTATACTATTGAATGTTCAAAACAACATGGATGAAACTTGTGTATATACATATAAACTTGACGCATGAATACACCCACATACACACGCGCATACATATAAACTCGATCCTCACGTAAACACCCACATTAACACACACACATACATATAAACTTGCTGCATGCAAACACATCTATACACACTTGCATATACATATAAACTCGATTCTCGCATAAATACCCACATTTACATGCACATACATATAAACTCGCAGCATGCAAACACACCTATACATACTCGCATATACATATAAACTATATGTCTATGCATATACACCCTCAACAACACGCGCACATACACAAACTCACTGCATGCAAACACACCTACAACATCTCGCGCAAACATACAAAAAATAAAAAATAAAAAAATTCACAAACATTTATCACGAATCTGGTTATTGCAAAGCTTATGAAATAGAAATAATGTGATTAATAGAGGAATTAAATATGTTAAATTATGAACATATGTTATATAAAATATTAGTCTATATAAATAGACTATTCAAAATAAGAAATACTTTTATTTAAAACCTTTTCATTTAAGTAGGTAATTACATACACAAATATAAATGGACAGATAGAACCCTTAAAGGACGTTCAAAAAGAAACCAGAATTATAAATATAAATGTATACTCAAACTAAACTCCTCTATTCTATTGCAAATGTTAATTTAGCCTATAGTCTTCTTGTTTTGTTTTTTACATTTTTATAGTTATTATGCTTTTTATATGTTTTTACAATGTGGGTGTCAAAATTGCAAGATTTTGGTATCATTTTGATTGTTAATTTTTCAGCATATACAAAAAAAAAAAAAAAAAAGCTGATTAAAAGTCTGCTCATTATGTTGGTCAAGTTCACCTCCATGGAAAAGCTATATATATTATCTGGACACTCCTTTTGTGTTTAATAACCACTACTTATATTTTTACAGCAGCTGGCATCCAGCATTTTGGTGCATTAGCCTGTTTATTGGTGACAGAAAAACCCACTTAAGTGCATTCCTGCCCCCTACTGGACATAAGTGTGTATCATAACCCTTGACGAATAGTGACAACAATAATAAAACAAACATAAAAAACTAATATTAGACAAACATATTTTATTTAAAATGATTACTTAAGCAACTTTATATTTATTAAACTATAATAACCTTTCCAATAATTCAATTGCATAATAAACCTTTAATTTTGCAGGAGCATTCCTTTGCATTACCTTTTTATTTATTTATTTTTTAGAATTAGCATGATCTATTTTCATATTTCAACAGATGTAATTCCTCTATTAATCACATTATTTCTGTTTCTTAAGCTTTGCAATAACCTGATTCATGACAAATAATAATCTTGTTTATTACACTCAAAGGACTTTTACGTTGAAATTAAACGACTTCCTTTTAAAGTGAAATAACTTCCTTTTACTGTGAAAATTCATGCATACACACATATGAAATCACTTGCATATATGTATATCCACAACTAACTGTATATATGTTTGTGAATTTTATTTTGTATGTTTGCACAAGTGTAATTTGGGTGTTTATGCACACATCAAGTTTATATTCGTATGTGAGAGTTTATGGGTGTATATGCATAGATCAAGTTTATATGTATATGCAAGTGTGTATAGATGTGTTTGCATGCAGCAAGTTTATATGTATGTGCGTGTTTTAATGTGAGTGTTTATGTGAGGATCGAGTTTATATGTATGTGCGTGTGTATGTGGGTGTATTCATGCGTCAAGTTTATATGTTTATACACAAGTTTCATCCATGTTGTTTTGAACATCCAGTAGTATAGGTGTATATGCGAGTAATTTATAGGTGTATATACACATGCTTTATGTATGTGTTGATAAGCAAAGTTTGATTTAAATCCTATACGGCACCTCATAGTTTAGCATTTGGACTATTGACATTATATTACAGAATAGCTCTTTTGGCATTATCTTTTTAAGCATCAAGCTGTTTAAACTGGCAATAAAAAAGAAATTCATACTTTAAAATTACACAAATCACTGTGGGTGTTTTTTTCTTTTCTCTTTTCTGCCCAAAAACCATTCATCATCCTTTAACTTATACAACTCGTGCGAAAGCTGTATCACTTCCTTTCTTTTGTGGTACAAGGTATTTTGTCAAGACAGTTAAATATTTCTATTTATTGCAGTTTCATTATAGCTTCATTCTATAAATACAATATTTAGTGTTTCACTTAAGAAGTTAACTCATATCTAAAACATTAATTTTTTAGGTGATTTTTTTTCAACAGTATAACAACAAGTTTATTCCACAATTACATCCCAGAAACAAATAAACACAATAGTGCTGGTCTGCAGGTTAATATTGCTGTGTGCATTTGTAATGTGACTGCTACGTTTTGCACTTCTTCCCCAGGGATTTAAAAGTTCAATGATTAATCACACGCACACACAACTTGTATATAATGTGACTTGACTGCCCTTTAAGAAAAAGTTGACTGGTTCTTCATGAGAGGGTTCACAAGCTCCCTCTCTCTCTCTCTCTCTCTTCCTCTCTATCTGCCTGACTAAAAGCGTTCCTAATAGTCGTAACTCCATCATCTTTTTGATAAATATTTAGCATTTGGAAAGCTGGACACCTCACATGACAGGTGAGTTCTTGCTGTGCATCACTGGAATAGTCTACAATTGTGAGTATGATACACTGTCAAATAACGTTAGCTATATGTTGTTTAAAATGAATTTTTACTTTTGTAATGTATTATTCTCGGGTGGTTGATGGTCAACTACCAAAATATTCATTTTTAACTGGTCGTTTCGTTTCGTCAATATTTGACTGAAGTTGACGGAGCGTGCAGCTCACATTTCTGGAGCTTGCGTAGCCTAACATTTAACCTGTTTTCTTCGCACGGTAGATCTAATCCAGACAGGTGGTGAGTCTGGTGATGCTGTTTAATGTCATCGTGTTTATTTAACACACCCAGAGTCAAGCACTGCGACGCGACGCTGCTGACAAGCGGCGTTAACCACAGATGTCGATTTTAACGCATTGCCTTTAGATGAAAATGTCTAGTAATTATATTCCTTGTCGAATACAAAACCTGTACATGCCTCTTGTTCACGTTTTTCTCCGTGTTTCCTTCTGAAGAGGTTTCATCCAGAGAGCAATGATGACATCAAACGACTTCATTTGCTCGACAGGCACGTGCGTTGACTCGGTTTGTGATCTGAACAGGGTTGGGAACGCATTTGACGGTAAATGAGACTAAACCCGAATTAAACTATAGTAAACAGCTACTAGACGAGTATTACTGCGACTGTGTGAGGACTAATAGGAAAGATGTAGCCTAAATGGACTGTAAAATGCATTGTAAAAACGAGCAAAGTTAAATGTATTCATTCAAAGCAGTTTTTTTAAAAGTTCATTGGTTAACTTATAGTCTGATAACAAGAAAAAACAACAACAACATCATAGAAACCATCACAAAATCTGTTAAGGTTTTAATGCTTGTAATTTTTGGGTTTAGTGTCAACTGTAATCATTCCTTTGGATCTCTACTAGGCTAATAATTTGATTAAACATTTTGTTCAACCCCTAAAAAATTAAAATGTACTCACTCTCTGGTGATTCCAAACCTTTTGGATTGTTAGGATAACACAAAATGAGATATTTCTAACAAATCAGAAAATGGGTAACCATTGACTTTCATAGTACTATGAGCATCAATGGTTACTGGTTTCAGATTTTTTCAAAAATGTTTTATTTGTGCTCAACAGAAGAATGTCAAACATGTTTGTGATATGACCACTAAAAAAGTGAGTTAATGCCAGAATTCTTAGATTTGGGTAAACTATTCCTTTAACCGCTGTTACTGTAGTTGAACTATTGTAACCCCTGTAGTTAGCCATTGCTTTGCTACAATTAACAGTTTAACAAAGAGTAATCAATCTGTCAAATCCCATAGCTACTTTTTTACTGTAATGATGCTGTTATTATTTTAAGGGCTTCTGGCATGTTAAACTACTAAATCCTATTGCAATTGTTCCCAAAACAAACTAGAAACCATTACAATTTACTTGGTTTTAATGGTTAGCAGTTGATGGATTGAAATGTTTTAGATGGTATTTGTAGAGTAAACCATCAGGTTTTGTACTGTTTAACCCACATTGTGGTGCCTAGTGCTGTAAAGTTACAGCTGGTTGCTTATTAAAAGCAATATTGTTGTGAGCCTCATACGTACTCTGTTTCAGAATTTTGGGGGGAAAACATGTCTGTTCTGCTCAAGAAGAGAACAGAAATCCATTTAGGCTCCACGGTTATATATTGAACAATATTTAATATGTGCATGCAGCTCTAATTTACTGTATAAATACCCAAGATTAATTGTTAATGATAGATAAATTATAAGCAATGTGAAACATGAAGCTGCATATAAGCCAGGAATTTGTTCACCTGTGGTTTAGAATAGTCAGGGTAAACTACAGTTTATTTCAAGTGTGAAAAGCCCAACAGGACACTAATATATAAAACCTTACATATAAACCTTACCACATATCCAAAATATGTTTGATTTAAATGAGAATGTTTATTACATTCTTATTTGTCATTATTGGCATTGCTTGGCAAAGTAAAATAGCCATAAAATACAGCACACATCTAAGTTTGTCATTGTGTTTTATATTAACTGTAGAGCATGATAATGTCTGTTTATAAAGTCTTTTCATTTTAATGTGAATGTGGTAACTGAACAAAGCATTGTTTATTATACTCACTGTTTCTTTTGGATTGGTATTAGGTTAGCTAAATAGAAATTATAAATGACTGTGTGTTTTTTTAGGACAGCTTGACGTTGCAGATCAATTTTCATCTGAATGTCCATAATTATAGTTTAGTCATTATAGATGGTTGCTGAATAGCAGGCTTGTTTTTGGGACATCCCCATTTCTAAATGAAGAGCTTAACGACAAATATTTGTCACTGTAAAAATAACTCCCCCATACACCCCTCCTGCCGACTGCTCCCACCACAGCTGCTGGAGATGAAAAAAACATTTTTGGCGCGGTTTTGGTATCCCCAAAGCACTAATTACCAATAATTAGCCCAACGGTTGCTTGTCCCTTTATGTTATATTTACAATGTACAGTTCCAGCTTTTATCTGACCACCCATTGTGTGAGATATAAAAGGGCATTATTATTAATAATTACATAATGCTATAGATTGAAACATTACATCTTTTTTTTTCAGATTAATTGAATTAAGTACCAAGCTTGGTGCTTAAATGACTGTATTTCCAAGCAATTGATTTGATTTTTCAAAGCAATGTCTTTTTATGACTACCATAATCAGAAAACAGACACAGAATCAGCGTGTGGCCAAACCCTTGACTGCTATGCAACTTGGCTTGATTGCTGAATGCATCAGGGTGTATTTATGAAAAGAAAATCTGCATAGGTCAAACAGGAAATGACAGTGTTCAGTTGTAATTTACCGCTATAATAGCATATTTGTAATATGGAATTAAATCTGTGCTATTTCATTGCTGGTGACTGGATTGCATGGTGTGGAACAATTCAGCCACGAGTTCACGTCATTGCAGGATCGCAGTGATCCGTTATATCATAATCTTCGGGACATTGCGTTTCTTTGTTAAATGCGTTATGAAGACGTCATTTTGCAATTAAGACTATAACCTCGGGAAACAATAAAGATATGAGGCAAATTTCCTAGAACAATAGTGGACGTATAATCAGTTAAACACAAACTGTTGTGCTGTAGTTTCTAAGCAAGACTAGTAACGTCCAGTGACCGCTGAGGTCATATGCAGGATAAAGCGTATCTCCACTGATAGAGCTTGACAACAATGTTTTGGCTAGAGAGGCCACTGTATTTCTCCATTATGTATTGTTTCATAGGTTAACTCTTGTTTTTGGACAAGATAGTCAATTTAAATAATAAGTAATATTCTCAGCTCTATACAGTAAAATGTTTACAATCACAAAATGCATAAATGAATACCTGAAATTATTTTACTTAAACTATATGAGAAGACAAAGAATTAGCCATCCTAACATAACTAAACTTTCCATAATTAAAAACCGCCAATATTCAGTTAACAATAGATGGTTCACTCAAAAATGAACATTTCCACACACTCAAGTGGTTCTAAATCTTTATGAATTTCTTTCTTTTCTTGAACACAAAACAAGCTATTCTGACGAATGTTGAAAAATAAGCCAATATTAAAATCTATAGTAGGATCCAAAAATATTATGTAAGTCAATGGCTGTTTTATCCAATATTCTTCAGTATAAAATAATTTATCTTCAACAGAAAAAAGAACATTTCTAAACAGGTTTGGAATAAGAGGAGGATGAGTAAACAAACTTTTTTGAACTATCAATTATATGCTTACTAGGAATCGATTTATCAATAATTTCAATTTCATTCTTTGGAATAATGTTATATATTTTTACTGAGTGACGACATGTTGACTGTATCTATTATTATAGTTCATATTTAAATTTAGGGCTGTCCCGATCAGGGTTTTTTGCCCTACCATCATCAAAACTTGATTCGATACTTCTATAATACATAAAAAAGAATAATGAAGAGCAAAGAAACAGATCTAGGAAGTTCCTTATTTATTATTTTATTTTAACATTCAACAATTCTGTTAACAAAGGTAGAGGTAACTTGAACAATCACGTAATGAATAATATCAGTTCTTCACTTTTGGACTTTAATGCAACAGTAAAAAAAATCTAATATAAAAACAAACAGCACCTCAACTTAAAATAATTGGCAGGCAATCCCAAGTTTGCATATCTCACAGTTTGCTATGGCAATGTTGTCATTGTCAACTTTATAATACCTTCAGACCGTAGACATAGGCTATGTCCGAAACCGCTTACTACCCAGTAATGCATTTGAATTTAAATGTACTACTCGGCCGTTAGAAAAGTACGTTCTATACAGTATTTATAGAACCATTTTATGTTGGTCATATGACTTACCTGCATCAGTTGAGTTACTTCACTCCCATTCAAGAATTCTCTCACAGGGCATCATGGGATAGCGAAGCGTGCATGGGATGCGCATTTCAGAATCTCGCCGAAAGTAGTAAGTCAAGGGTGTCCAGACTCGGTCCTGGAGGGCCGGTGTCCTGCAGATTTTAGCTCCAACTTGTGTCAACGCACCTGCAAGGATATTTCTAGAATGCTTAGTTAGAGCTTGATTAGCTAGCCCAGGTGTGTCTGATTGGGGTTGGAACTAAACTTTCCAGGACACCGGCCCTCCAGTTTGGACATGCCTGTAGTAAGTCATCCGGGTACTTCTCGCATACTGATTTTGGAATTCTATGAATTCAGACATACTACTCGGCTCGAGCAGCCCTAATATATATATATATATATATATATATATATATATATATATATATATATATATATATATATATATTCAAGTCCTGATCAGGAGGTAACATCTGATTCTGATCAAGTCTGAAACCATGTGATCGGGCCCGATTTCCGATCACGTGAACAGATACGGCCATCACTATTTATTCACTTCTGATTTAAGTGACTCACTGACTGTACACTCTAAAAAAAATGGGCTTTTCATTGACATTGATGTTCAATGAAGAATCTTTATCACCCATGGAACCCTCTTATTCCTATTTCATTCTTTTATACAAAAACTTGGCAATAGGAACTGTTCGCTGAATGGTTGTTTGGGGAATATGATTTTTCAAAGTCATCACTGTGAAAACACCCCTTTGGAAGCTTAAGAGGTTAGGTTTTTAGGGAAATAGATTTTGTGGTAACCAGCATTGTGCCACAAATGCTGTGTAATGAGCTCACACTGACTGAACCCATAACTATTCCTTTAAAAAGTCACAGTTTGTTCTTTTTTGAAAGATTATATTGAGACATTTGATATTTTATATCCAGTAATATTGTTTCAAACTCAAACAGTTCCTTTCTAAAACACTGAGCAAAATACTTTAATAAAAGCATGCATGGGCTAATATTAAGCATATGCCTAGGTGTCAAACAAAACACTTAGGATGTGTCTACCCCAGTATTTTTAAAGTGATTCCTGGAGTTTAGGCCATAGAGGCGTATTGTTGAGTCATGTCCCCTCGGTCACATGTTTGTCAGAGGGCTAAAGAAGGAAACCTAATCGAGGGGGGAGGGAAGGCTATCAGTGGAGCCTCAAGGTTGGAAGTGAACCGTGTGTGTGTGTGTGTGTGTGTGTGTGTGTGTGTGTGTGTGTGTGTGTGTGTGTGTGTGTGTGTGTGTGTGTGTGTGTGTGTGTGTGTGTGTGTGAGTGTGACAGATAGAAAAAGAGAGAGAGAGAGGCAGAGAGTCTAGATTCAACGACTAGAGTGCCACTACTTCTTTTCTCCAATCACTGCCTCTTCTCACCTCCAGTCCCTCCTCCTTCTCTGTGTCTCTGGCTTTTTCTGCTTTTCGGTGGCTGTTTGGCTTCAGTGGGACTTTGCCATCGCTCTACAATGACTGCTGTAGTTGTAGTCGTCCTGCAGTGAGCATTCCGAGGTAAGTCTTTCTCTGTTAGTAGCAAAACATGTGCTTTTCTTCTCTGTCCACTTAAAGGGATAGTATACCCAGGTGTTCACATTTGGTCTTTTGTTCTTTCCGTGGAGCTCAAAAGAAGATATTTTGAAGAATGTTGATTAATTGGGACATTTTCTTGATTGTTGATGTTCATTGAATGAGATGTTCTTCAGAATATCTTCCATAAAAGTTTTAAAGTCTTTGAATTTCTTTGAAATCTTCAGTGTTTGTTGTAGGAAGGCTGTGAAAGAGCTCAGAAAGTGTTTGCAGCTGTATTTTGCTGAAATTGTAACTGCAGCCCTTCCTGCCTTACAAAGTGTTTCCTGTTGGAATATTTCAATTTCTTGCACACTTTCAGGGAGAGAGGAATGAAATGCTTAGGAATATGCTCACACAAATTTTAGAATTTTTTGTTTTGCCTGTTTTTTGTTGCGATTCTAGTGTGATTGTCAGGAATGTGGCTTTTTCTCTCTTGTTCTCTCTCTCATCCAGCTCACTGATGATGAGGAGTCTAAAGTTACGCTTGGTATCAGAGCAACAATGACTTTGGCTCAGATTAAGAGCATTAGATGACTCAGTGATTCTTTTAATGAGCTGCAATACTGAAGAATTTACTTTGAAAAACAGCATTTTTTTTCTCCATTTGTTTTTGTAACAGCTGTTTTCATTCATTCTGCCTGTAATTGAAACTGTACTAGCAACATTGAGATTACAGGTTTTTTTCCCAGGGAATGCAAGGACTGATGTTGTAAGTCTTCACAAGGCGAATGAATGTAAACTAGGCAGTGCTAAGCAGAAAGCAATGTCAGGTTGAATGTGCTCTCTACATGGCTTTTCTATTTCTGACCATGTAGATGGACGTGTAGCACAAATGAAATAGCAACAGGCAGAGTCCTCTCATTGCAGGCTGTATGGAAACTGCATTACAGTGGTATTTATTTGTTGGAAATTGTTAGTTAAATCACATAGTTCTGTAATAAGTGTTCAGATGGTTGTGGTATTTGAGCAGCATAAGAATAAGCCTCACATTGAGGATGAGCGTAGTCTCTGGGGAGCATCTCTGCTGAATCACTGTTCTCAGTCACCTTTAAATACAAACATGCAGCAGGAACCAAAAAGTCAGAGGATACATTGGAAGTGTTGTTCAGATGCATCTAGTTTTTATTAGCACTTAGTCAAAAAGAAAAATAAGATAAAATGTTTAGTATTTATTTTTCACATTTAAATACGCAAATCAACTTTTCTTAAATAGGAATTTATTTAAAAAAATGCATAATATATAAAATGTGCCATGTGTTCATTCCAGTGTTGCCAACTTAGTGACTGTCGCTATATTTAGCAACTTTTCAGACCCCCCAGCGACAAATCTTTTAAAAAACAAGTAGCGACAAACCTAGCGACTTTTTTTGTATGTTACTGAAGATTTTTATAGACTCTCATGTATCCTTATTGTACCTTCCCTACTCTTCTCAACAAGCTGTGGGTGATGCCGTCTGCCCCTCCCCCGCCTCAGTGCACTGACAGGCGGCCCAGTCCTCGCACAGCAGTCTCTCTCCCACCTGAAGCCTGGTTTATACTTCTGCGTCAAGTGATTGGCGTGACCCGTGGCGCATGCAACGTGCATAGCTGTGCATTCATACTTCTGCACGCTGTTTCTGTCGCTCTGCAATAACACTTTTGAAACGCTAGCTGGCAGTGAGGTGTTTATAATACTCTGTGTCGAGTTTCTTCGCTGGTGTTTTGTTTTTTCCTGAACTCTTCCTTAATGTACAGGTGGTACAAACTTGCTCATTTTTAGGCAGGAACCAGCGGACGTGCAACAAATTTAACTATGATGTAAGCACAAAACAAAACCTTTCATCTGGAATTCCTTCACAGGACTTGACACTTGTAAACAATCGCTCCATCGGGCTCATGCGGCTCTCGGTCCTGCCCACACTCGTCAGCGCAACCTAGCTGACCAATCACAGAGCTTGCGCGACGTGTAGTTACTTTGTGCTCGTCAGCGACGCCGATGGCCACGGCGAGGACTATGCGTCCATGCAAAGGCCGCGCCGTAGCATACTCGTGCGCTTGACGCAGAAGTATAAATCAGCCTTGAAAGCAGATCCCTTTTCTGCATACTGACGGCAAATGATTTAGCACCGGCAGTGTGAGGTATTTCCATTTCTACAGTCAAAGCAATCTGCTTCTCCTTTATTTTAACAATTTAATTTGACCAATAATTTTTTTCTTGTTCACAATCACAGATATTTTAATAACAGTTTCGGTCACTTGTCAGAGTTTATTTTTTCTGAGAGATTACTGCAAATTTACTACTCGTTCATACTGATGTACTGTATTCAAACAGCAATAAATTTTGTTAAACTGACATGCGCATATATATATATATATATATATATATATATATATATATATATATATATATATATATATATATAAAGTGTAGTGCAAATATAAATACCCCTTTATTAACCATATGTTGTTAAACAAACAGGCAACGCAGTAGTGCTGTCGCCTCACAGCAAAAAGGTCGCCAGTTCGAGCCTCGGCTGGGTCAATTGGTGTTTTTGTGTGGAGTTTGCATGTTCTCCCCATGTTGGTGTGGGTTTCCTCCGGGTGCTCTGGTTTCCCCCACAGTCCAAAGACATTCGCTACAGGTGAATTGGGTAGGCTGAATTGTCCGTAGTGTATGAGTGTGAATGAGTGGATGTTTCCCAAAGATGGGTTGCAGGTGGAAGGGCATCCTCTGCATAAAACATATGCTGGATCAGTTGGTGGTTCATTCCACTGTGGTGACCCCAGATTAATAAAGGGACTAAGCCGAAAAGAAAATGAATGAATGTTAAACAAACAGAAACGGCATAACGTGATGACGTCAGTAATATGCAAATTGATGTATGACATAATCTAGTGACTTTTAGCAACTTTTTGGCAGAGCTTAGCTCCTTTTCTTTGAAAATAGTTGGCAACAGTGGTTTGTACATGCTTAAATTTGCAGACAACTCGATTTCAATGTTTTAGCCTTTAAATTTTGGTGGAATGACACTGCACTGCAAAAAATGTGTTTCTTTCTTAGAATTTTTGTCCTGTTTCTAGTCAAAATATCTAAAGATTCTTAAATCTTTAGATTCCTAAACCATTTTCCAGACAAGCAAACATGTTGGCATGTTTTCAGAAATAATATTGAGTTTTTTCGTAAAGGGGTGGTCCACTACGATATCATATTTTAAAGTTTAGTTGATGTGTAATGTAGCTGCATCTATTACATTCAGACAACATCTCTGAATGTAATAATCTCAAAGTTTAATGCAAGGGAGAAATTGGCTTTCACAGAGGTAGCTTAGCAAAGCCTTCAGCAAACAATGTTTGGGGACTACAAAAAATACATCCGGGATAGTGAGATTACAAGCGCTTCAGGTTACGAGCATTCCCTACGCACAGCATGAGGGCGTGGCCAGAAGAGGCTAAAATTTCCAAATGTCCGGCTAAAATGTCCAAGCGCTGCTATTTCCACAGAGCCTCTTCTGTTTCTGTATTTGGGCTTCTAAAGGACATGACATAAAGAGAGAAGTGCTTAGAGTTTAATTTTAATTACGTTGTAGAGAACTATAAAAATATATAGCTAGCATTTCACAAAGGACAGCTTTCAGAATCTCTCCCAGTTCAGTGCTGGATTTGGCTAAAAACTTATCAAACCATAAAAGTTGAAGCAGGTGATTGTGAGCCACAACCTGTACGTGTCTTTATTTGTCATAATTGATCAATTACATGCATAGTTTCTATCGTTACGTTACATTTTAGTGAGGACTTAAACAAGGATGTAAACAATGAGAAATATTTAGCACCATTAACAATTTAGCTACAAATTAATATTTATCAGTCAAACCTCTGTAAACATCCACAATCTTTACACTGTTCCTGGTAACGTGATGCCGATCCACAAATTACAGCACATTATGTTTGCTGACCAATCAGAGCCTTTTGAGGGCGGGCCTTTCAGAGGAACTAGGAAATATGAAGTATGTTGTTTACATGTTAGCTGTATTTAATCAAAGTAAGATATATGACAAAATTAGGTGATTTTCTACAAGTGAAGCATGAGCACACATTGGTTTGCATCTGAAGAAGACAACTAAGCCCTAAAAATACACTCTGGTCCACCCCTTTATAACAGGCAAAATAATCTGTCAGTGGGTTGAGCAAAATAATAATATTTCAAAATGAAAGCAAGATTATTTTACTTACCCCATTGGAAGATTATTTTACTTGTTTTAAAGAAAAACTCACTTATTTTTGATAGAAAATGCTTCTTGATTTAAGAATTTGGCGATATTTGGTCTAGAAACAAGGCAAAAACTCATTTTTTTTGCAGTGTGATTTTCAATCTTAAATTAATAGATTTGTTATTCTCGTCAATTGCTTTTTTTTAAACACTCTTAATAACAATATTTTTATTTGAAATTGGAAAGAAATGTTATAAGCACTATATAGTATAAAGTTGGTGATAATAGTGTCAGTTCAGTTGTTTCAATGGTTTCCAACTTGATTTGGAGGTCTCCAACAATATGTTTACAGCATGCAAGATCTGTCTTATTTTTGAGAGCCAGCTTTGCTCTTATTGGTGAGATGGCCCAGTCTCTTGTGATCAGTGTGGAGTACATTGAATTAGTGACATTTTCAGGAGGCTTTTTTCTAGTAAAATAACTAGTTAGTTTATGAGAACAAGAATATGAACAAGAATGTTTCTTTTGGATTCAGAAAATTAAAAGCTAGAGTTAGGAGAAAGGAGTGATTTATTTTAGAGAGAGAGAAGCAGTGGTTTGTCAAGCCCACTCGCCTGAGTGAGCCACACTCAGAATAATGTTTTGAGGTTGTCTTGTGGTATGGTGTTGTGATGGTGGTTTGGGGTGGGGAAGGGGGGTGTCCTGCTGATCGCGCATGAGCTGGGTTTTTAGTTGTTGTTTCAATGATACTAGTGA